CGCGGCATACCGGACAGCTGAAGACGAGCATAGGGTGGTCAGACGAGCATTGTGTGGTCTGATCGTGCAGCGTCGCTGCGGATGGCCTCGTAGGCGTAGGCATGCGACAGGATGCGTCGTACCGTTTTTGGACTTGAATGTCCTCCACTGGATGGAATGGCACAACACCACTATTCACGAAAGCTAGCCTTAGCTAGCTGGAGTTGCTCTTGCTTTAGCAAGTTAAGTGACGGGGTGGACGCACCTCAGAAACCTCAAATAATTGATTAAATCAATCTTATGGCCCCCCCCCCCCCCGCGGTTCGACTCCCCCCTGCGCGCGGTGAGCGGGACCACCAAGCAGCTGCAGCACACCAAGCATCTGCAGCGCCCAGCGCAGCAGCGGCAGCAGCAGCAGCAGCATACCCAACGCCGCGGCAGCAGCAGCCGCAGCAGACCACCCAGCGCCAGCAGCAGCAGCAGCAGACGACCCGGCGCCTGCAGAGCACCCAGCGCAGCAGCGCCCAGCGCAGCAGCGGCAGCAGCAGCACCAGCAGCAGACCACCGGAAGCCCGGCTAGCTTTCGTTCACCCCCTCTGGCCTCAAGTGTTCATAGTTTGGTTCGGGCCCCTGGTAGGTTGTCCAATATAACCCGATGAGTTTGGCTGGCATCTTCGGATCCTTGTTTTTCAACCAGGGGCTTGTTACGACGCAGTTGCTAGTATCAAACTAGTAGCTGACCAGATGTAAATGGTATCCGAGGTAGCTTAGTTGTCAAGTATAAAGCATGGTGAACATATAATAGTTGATTCCAAGGACTAAACCTTTCAGCCTTTCAGCTGTCAGAACCTTCCTGGACCTTCCTGTTTGGATGCCCTGTTTGGAAGCCTATACGCCTATAGTAAGTAGTGTGTCGGTGGTCCAGCCAGGACACCCAGACAGGATGGTAGAGTCCTTGGCTCCTGATTTGAAGCCGAATCCATCCCAGAAATTTGTTTGTTTGGGAAAATCTAGAGGAAACCATGGCTTTCACTCCGAAAAGGAATCCCAGGGTTTCAAGGGAAGCAAGGTTTCTGGGTTTGCAGATGTTCCCTGAATCTACATCCTGAAGCCACTTCATGTATGGCATATTTGCATAGATTGACCCCTGAAACCACTCCAATGTATGCATAGCCGGTGTGCCAGTCCAGTCCCGATCCCTCCAGGACTGTTTGGAGGATTGGCCCCCAAAATGAGTCGATGGTTGGAGGCAGCTATGCGGTCACGGATATGGAACATATGTAGTAACGTATGTGTACACATAAATGATTATAAACTGTAATTAAATATGCCCTACAAATCCAAGTAATTACCTTCTCAGGTTCGGTACGACTGGACACTGCAAACCTACATGTCACAGTGTCTCCGTCCTCACCGTACCTGAGAAGGTACGACCGGATCCCTAAGGATGTATATACATGTACTCATGTACATAGATGAATCAACTTATCAAGACCTTTGTTTTTTCAACCTCACCGCTTTCCATGTTTAGTTGAATGACCACATGGTGTTTTCATCCTGGTGCCTGGGACATGGACTGTGAGGTGGAAAAGATCCTTGCAGCGCCCTGTGTCTTGGCGTTCGGGGTTGGAGATGGATCCATTTCCCAGAAGCTCCATGTATGCCATATATGCCTACATTGGGGTGGTTGGGTCAATTGATCGGCAGTCCTATGGCAGTCCCATTAGTCGCGTCTGGGTTTGCGTGGCTTGATTGATGGACCTTCCCATCAAAATGAGGAGTGAACATCGGACCTTCACCCTTTCTGGCGCACTGTAGCCTCCTGAGTCCGCCACTTCACTTCCATCTAGGTGAGTCGGAGTGCATTGAAGTACGCGTTTGCCAATCAATTGTCCCGATTACAGACGGTAGACACAAACACAACTAGTATTGGATACAGACGAAGATGCCGATCGGATGGATGGTGGGGATTGCAGATCAAACAAAATTATTCTATGTCAAGAGGCTTATAGTTTGCGGGGATAGATGTATTTATACTATATTATTTATATATGTCAAGTGCTTCCAGTTTCAAGATGCTTATATATAATATCAATCATGTTATGTTCTATTCTTTCCAAGTTGTGTTCAAGATATGTTCTTTGTGTTTCGATGGGCTCGAAGACCTCCGGGTTCTGAGATGAAACGGACCCACGACTCGTTAGGCGACGGCTGGCCCACCACGGAGCATCCCTTCTGGCTCCGCCCGAGCTTCGCGCATCGCGCGTCTCTGCCGGTGCTGGTCTTGGGCGCGGAGGAGGATGCTCGGGTCACAAGCTGAGTGCGGATGTACCTGTAATAGGTCAGTGTCCCAAGACAATTATCAACATTGAATTTTACTTGTCCATCTAAGTCTGTTAATGTCACTATGAAGGGGTCCAAACAAGTATGCATGCGTTTCTACAAACAGTTTCAGCTATGTTTTTTCTTGAAACTGGTCTTGGGGAAAGCTCTGCATAGTTCTTCTACGGGGCTTGGGGGCTTGGGGTGGAAAGGGTCTGTGTTCACACCGTGGAGGGCGCCTGCACCAGGATGTGATCTATCCACCCAGGCGCGTTCGCAGCGCACGGCTCCGAGCGGTCGGAATGGGCGCTGAACACACACAAAAACACGGACCTGTACCGTTTGAAGCCTCCGGCACCTTGAGTTCGGGGTCACCTGGCGGACCCCCAGAGGTTCAGCTGGGTCTGCCGATCGGGTGACCTGAGTTGAAAACCGGTTCCGAATCGAATGGCTTCCCGGTTCCGAATCGACAGCAAATCCAAGGTATACGGTTTCATGAGCCACCAAAAAGGAATGGTCCAGGAACCGGGTTCCTGGCTACCATGCAGAGAGTCCGGACACCCAAGCTAGGTATCAGTTGTCATGGTTTCACTGACTTAAGGTTGCTTGTTGATTTCTAGCAAATGTTGGGCTCTCCTTTTAGTCTTGGGACTAAACAGATGCAAGAATGCCACACCAAGAGCAAAGTGCACTACTACAACGTACCAATTAGTATATCTCAGAGCGCTGCCCAAGACAAAGCTGAATGCACCTGGCACCTGCTTGTGTTCTTTTTTTGCAGGTTGCTGAACCCTATCTTCCACCGCTACTTCCCCTGCGCCACCGAGCGCATCGTGCCGAATCAAGCGCATTGCTTCATCGATCCTGGATGGCAGGAGCGAGAAACAAGGGAGACCCGTGACACTCCCTGATCTAATCATGGAAGTGGATGGCAGGACCTCTTGTATGACCATTATCCTGTTATCCTCTACCAACAGGTGGTGGTATTCCAACCGAACCATCATCATCCAGCCCATTGTTACAGCTAATAGGATAGACCCAATGTATGACCATGATCCTTTTATCCTCTACCAACAGGTGGTGAACTCCACGTAACCATGATGAGTTCAAACCAGTTCAGGTGATGGTTTGCTGTTCTGGAACTAGTTGATTCAGTTTCAGGGTTGATGACATCGTTTGATGCGGTAATACATACACGAAGAACTGGGTGAGATTCAAGACCACTCCAGAAGAAACAAAGTTGTTCATCATCACATTCCACTACAGATCAAGCCGGGCATGAGTTGATCCTGTGACCGCAGCTTGAAAACACTTGAACTTCTTCAGTCCGAAGTCATTGGCCACTCAGTGACTGACCCTTTCAACCTGAACTTAAGCTGCCCCGTGGGAACACCGGTGGGTACGGAGGGCTCTGTGGAGCCTGTTAAAGTTAAAGTGTTCAAGTAGTACACTCCCGAAAACCAACCAACCGAAAGACTGTGTAGTTGTTTCAGTGTTTTCAAGACTTGAATGGTTCCAGTGATTCAGTATGTTTCAGTGTTACCAGTGGACTCGGGTCGAATGGCACCCAGTTGTCCTTTGAACCAGTGGGTTTTCGGGGTTTGTGTTAGTTTTCTCAGCAGAGTAATGTTGAGAAGGTGAGAACCCAGAGTTCCCCAACCATACATCATACCAGGCCACAGCGAGTACTTGACACCAAGTTCGGCGTTCGGTAGCATGTTTGGTCGCACTTCATATCGCACTTCATGGCATAGCAACTTGAAAGTCATTGGTTTTGCTTTCAGTAGAGTGAGGTTTTATTTTCTCTAGGGTTGAACACCCCAGAACTGGGGAATCCATGTCTTCCTCCTGTCGACCGTCCGCGCGCGGTCCGACCCTGTGCCGTGCCGTGGCCGGTCCCGCTCGTGGAACGACCATGGTGGCGCTAGGAGACCATGGTGGAACCATTGATCCAATGGCTGGATTCGATTCAGTGATCCGCTGGGGCGGGTCACGCTGGCCCGCGGCTGAAGCGTCCGACGGTACGAACGGTCTGACCGTAGGTTGACAGAGCGCTGGGCCGACCTGCTTCCAGGTCTGTGTAGGTTGAACAGGGTTGGGCGGTAGATGTTGATTGCTTAAGACGACCCTTTTGGATGGGGAGTGATCCTCAAGAACTCTCAAGAACATCGCAGTTTCGACAATCAAAGTATGTAGAACTCTTTTGTTCAAGCACAGTGACTTTGCTGCCCAACCTTGCTTCACATGTTTCAGACACGCCTGCCGCGGGCGTTCAAATTGATTCCTCCACAGTGGGGTGGTTTCCCTTGCCAGCGCGGCCAGATGGTTTCCATTCAAAAGTGCGGATCAATGCTGTGGATGTATCTCTATAGGTAGGGCTCCAACATACACTGGTTTCAGAGTAGATGGCACAAACCCAAAGATGTCCTTTATATTAGGATCTATAGAAAGCCGCCTTTATAGGGGATTGTGCCATCTACTCTGAAACCACTGTATGTTTTTCCAGCTTCCTGGGAGCTAATCCATCTACCCATGTGATCACACTCCTTGCATATGGGACCACGGCAACTAAACGAGGGCAACCACTGCTTCCTGAAGAGTGGCATTTGAGGCACATGGGCCATGGGTATGAATTTCGCCCTGCCAGAAGCGCAAAAGTCGCATCACGTCTGACCTGACACGACCAAGCCTTCTGGCAGGCTGCCAAGACCAAGCCTTCTCGCTGCATCCGCAGAAGCCGATGCTTGGAATCGGACGTTGGGCTGTTGAAGGATGCGTCCTTCTAAGACTAAAAGAATGGTTGATCTGGTTCTGTAGTCTAAGATCCTTGGTAAAACAATGGATGCTTGGTAAAGACTACTCAATCAATGGCGGGCCAGGAAGCTGAAGGGGCACAGGGAGTGTTGACCTCATCATGCTCACTTCGGAATCCCTCTGTGGAACAAACATGCCTTGCCAATTCCCAAACCATATGGTTCTTGCAATGTTAGGGCAGATTGTATGTCAACATATGCCTGCATTGACTCTCTGAAATCAACCACACGAACTGATCGATTGGACTGGCCAGTGGCAGACAGGGCATGGGACCAGGAGTAGAGAGTTGGTTGTTGTATAGAGGGACCCTCCATGGCATACTCGGTATACTTAGGGTGTAGCCCATTGCCAGTAACAGTCAGTAAAAGATGATCTATATATTTTTGAGATGAAAAGGCCTCTACTAACCATCATCATCCACTGTTACTGACAATGAGATAGACCCAAATATTCAGTTAGACACTCCACGGGACTGGCATAATGAATAAACCCGACCAATTGAATTTGTAAACCTCTTCATAAGGGGGTTATTCATCAAGAGTCTACATTTTGACCAAGAGTGTAAGATAGTGCAAGGTGTTTTGGACGATGTTGGCGGCTTCCCCACTTGCTACGTCGAATCAGTGGACATGGTTTCAGCACTGTAGAAAACGTGGCAGTGCTGGATCGTTTCCGACTTTTGTTCACTTTCACGGGGTATAGTGCAACATATTACGACAAACTATAAACTATAAGCATCTATAAACCATCCATAAGCCACTTTTTGTTGAGGTCAGTGAGGCATTTAGGCAAGGAGGCCCATGCATTTGGGAAACGCCCAGGAAAGGTCCAGCTATTTTGGTCTACTATGGACCTGCGCTGATGCAAAAGGCGCCAAGGGTTCATGTCAGACTCAGAAGCGACTGTAACTGGACAAAACACTGCGACCTGTGGCTTATCCTCCAGAACGTTGACCTATAGTTTGCTTTTAAGTTTAAAGTGTTTGCAGTATCAGTATTAGTCATTATTAGTCTATTGTGTTTCTTTTTCTAGTGGGCAACTCTAACATCACCCTTTTGTCGCGCTGTCCCGCATGGGACAGCGGGGAACACAGGCTGGGGCAGCGGACCCCTACAATACCATGCGGATCCTGGCGGTGTCTTGGCTTGACACGGAAGAATCCGACGGCAACCTCCGACGGCGGCCGACCTTCGGGACACGGCGGCCGAGCACTAGAGTCGAGCTTCCGGTGGGGACCTTCGGGTGTTTGGTGTATTTGGTACCACACAGGCAAGAAAAACAGCGTGTTTGTCATAGGCCCCGAGGGAAATGCCAGACAAACACCTGTTTCCCGGCGGGTACCACAAAGCCAGCATGTTTAGAAGCCTGGGAGCGCCAGGCTGCAAGGAGCGCCAGGGTGACATGCGCAACTTTACTTTCACCAGTCCCTACAAGATCCTACAAGTCTAGTCTGACCCAGGTCCAAGCCTGGTCCTTTACCTTCTTGAATAGTTTTTTTTTGTGTGTGTGACCATCTCCAATAAAATGATGTCTTTGACTTGTAGCGAGTGTTGTTGGTTGTTGCGAAATTCACACCATCCATTATAAATCAATACATTGGCTGGTTGGTTTGCAAGAAGCACCCAACTCGCATGGTGTACGTCATACGTGCTCTTTGGAGCATGTCAAGATTGGTTGAACCAAGTTGCACGATATTCATGCAGTAGCATGAAGAAGCTTATGTATGAGCTGGTGCCATAGATGGGCTTTTGCTTAGCAGTTGGTCTATTTACGGAGGGGATACGGGATAGCTAATCATCAATAGGCACATGAACCAAGCTGAATCAGCTGGTGCAACTAGCTGGATCAGCTAGTGGGACTGGCAGGGACTGCGATCGCATGTCTTGGACTCCAGCCTGTGGGATCCGCCAACCGATCGACTGGAGTCAAAGTGCGACCGCTTGGCTCCTTCGTGAGAAGTCAGTGAGGGGACTGGGGTGGATGCCAGGGGGCTCTACCCACCGAACCTGAGGAGATGGGCCAGAAGCCCTAGGGAGGATGAACAGATGCACAGATGGAAAGCACGGTTCAAGAACCAGGAGTCACATGTCGGGATGGTGTTTAGTCCCAGCCAGTGAGTGGAGTAGCTGGGCACCCCGACTACCTCCATGGATAGCACCCCGTTGACTGTGACTGCTGGTAGTATGATTTAGCCTTGACCGGGTGAAACCAACAAATTGCAAAACATACTGCTTATTACCAGGACCCCCAGTCGGGGTGATTAATGGACACCCCGAATCACAGCTAAGGCAGCTGTTTGGGGCTAGAAATAGACACCTCTTGGAGGGTGGTATGTTGTTGCATTCCTTTTGTCCTGCCAACGCGATCAGATTCTTCAAGACCCTCGAAAACTCAAACATTGGTCAGTACTAGCAGTGGCACCTTTCACCTCTAACAGCTTCTCCACTTGGTACCACTTTAGCTGGTCGGTTGGTTGATTGAGAAGTGATAATCCATAACTGGGCACTGTACATACAGTGAATCAGCCCTGGATCTCGTGCACCGACTTCCTCACTGTCCGCCGCCCCCTGGACCTCGGCACCCCGCCCCAGGAGATCTACCGCACGGCGCGGCAGCACTGGCCGATCACCGAGGGCTTGGCCTGCGCCGGGATGACCACCATCCTTCGCGCCTGGGACGCGGTGGGAAGGCGTGCGGCGAGGTCCCGCCATGGATGGGACGGGAGGGTCTGCGAGTCGCGGCATCGGGTGCTGGGCATCGGGTGATGGAAAGGTGTAGGAGTGAAGGAGGTGAAGGCAATTTTCATCCCAAATCAGTCCCACACACTCCATAGGACTGCCGAGAAACGGCCAGGGGTGGTGCTTTGGGGGGTCAATGGGGCGCCATATATGCCAGTCCCATGGAGATCCATGGAGTGTTTGAATCAGTGGAGCCAAAATCAGTGGAGCCGTGATGTTTTTAGGGCTCCAGTCATACCTCCTCAGGTTCGGTATGACTGAACCCTTTGAACTCACCCCAGTCCCACCTTCTGAGAAGGTACGACTGGAGCCCTATAGGGTGTGTAAACAAACGCACTCACCCCTCTCCCGTGTAGCAAAGGATTGAAGGAGTCTCAAAGGGTTAAACCTAGCTTGAAATCTCCATTGGTAAACATTCATGGTTTAGTTTTACGGTAAAAGCTTTTTTCCAGAGACACTGAGGGAGTCAGACCGTTTGCCCTCAGCCGGACGGACCATAGTGGTGGAACAAGGGTAGGTCTGTAACGAGTTCTGCGAAGAAACTAATCGCCAACATCGAAGGAATCAATCCCAAACACGACCCATAGGACTGCCATAGGACTGCCGAGAAACGGCCAGGGGTGGTGGTTTGAGGGGTCAATGGGGCAGCAAATATGGCAGTCCCATGGAGTGTTTGGGAATGAAAGTGCAGTGAGCCGACAGCAGGTTCCTTGCCCCACCATACTTTGAGACTTTAGAGACCCTGACAATCGAAAGACAGGACGCACTGCCTGGGGTGTGGTGACTGATTGATTGTTTTGTATGTTGACGCTGGGCACAGCTTTCTGACGCCAGCAGCACCTTTGTTTAACGTTGGCGCTGGTGACCATGACCCTACACTAAGACGATTGTCGTCCCACATCTCTTGGAGTTTGTTGGTGTCGAAAGCACGCATGTGGAAGTTCCTGCACCTGTACGTCCAGTGTTTCTTCCCTTTGGCCCCTCCTGAGGCATTGATGCTCTGAAGGACACTCTTTGATCCCTTGAGAAGTGTGGAAGATTCTGGCTGGACCAGATGGGTGTGTCGGACACCGCAGCCCCTATTTACTCGCCTGCAGGGGACCACATGGAACCCCAAAAACAACCGAGTTGAAGAGGAAAATGGTCTTCTCCTGGTCAATTCCCAGGTTCTATGTTAGTTTGTGCAAGAGTAGTCTTTGTCTTCGGCTCCTTGCTGCTTCAACAACCAAGCATGGAAACTGCCAGAGCTGGTTTTGAATGTAATTTGGACATATTTGGACTGGGTGTGGTCAACTTCAGGAAGTTTGGCAACACTTGCTCTCCAGAAGCTGAAGAGATTGAAGAGATGATTTATCCTTCCCACTGGAATTCCGGCGAAGGGGAGTTCTCGGCCGAAGTTGCACTGTGATCCTTGGTAGGACTCTCAACTGAAAAAATGGCACCATAGGTCATGTTTTCATAGGTGCCTCACCAACTGTTGTCCTGTTTGCATTGTGTACAGTGTATGTGTTCCCTTTTGGCAGTGGATTGCACAACAAACGTTCGCAGTCACAACTTATTTGTGTTTTCCGCCGAAATCTGCGAATTGCATTGCTGCATTGCATGTCCCAAGAGCTTGTCCTCACTGATCAACCTTCCGTTCGCCTGATCAACCTTCATTCCGCTGCGAACGCATGGCCCCCAAACTGCGAGGAGCTCACGGCCCAAGAGATTTTTGAGAACCAGTCGCAGGGCAGATTGCAGCCCCTTGGTGGGAGAACCAGAGGAACGCCCGTGGTGTGGGTTCTGTACGCCTCGCGCCGCCAAAGCGACCATGAAAGAACCAGAATGGTTGACCCGGTTTGGTAAAACTAATTGTTTTGGTAGAAGATCATTGAATCCTATAGCCATTACGAAACCAGGTGGGCCAGGAATAATCTTTTTAGAATCGGTGGGCCAATTAGATCGGTTTGGAATCCATGCTGGGCCAAGAATCCATTGGCCTTATAGGGGATTTGGGGTGGACTTCCGGTCTGTGCCCACCGGTCACCGGGTCGGAGATGGGCCGGGCCAGGAGCCCAGTCACGGGAACATTCACCACCCAAAAACCCACCAGTCAGTGGGGCAGTCATAGCTGTCCCGGTGGATCCTTTGGGGCCGCCCGATGGACGAACGATTGACCCCTGAACCCGGCGGTGGATCTGGTCTTGAAAACACAGGGAGAGCAACCGGTTGACTAGCGAAAATGTCCAAAGAGTGCTTCTAATGGCTATAGTTACACCTTGGAAGTCCGGCTAGAAAAAGAATGGTCCGAGTAGGGGACCTGAAAGGGAACTTCCTTTACTTCAGCCAGTCAATAGTCTTTGGACTTCTAGGGTACATGTTACCACTGTAGCGGGAGGTGTTGACTCATGACTCAACCAAAATGAGTTAAGCGTTGCTGTGTCCAATGTGTTGTGGCAGGTGGGGGGATTTCCCGAAGTGTCTTCAAACCAGGAGCGCTTGAGAACAGATTCGACAAGTCCCCCTGCTCAGACCCCGATGCTCAGACCCCGATGCTCTCGCAGGTATGTGATCGTCCGAAATGGCGACATGGTTTGGAAGTGATGGAGGTGATGCAGGTGTTGGGGCTACGTTGAACATCCGTTTTCCTGGCAGAAGAAGGAAGGTCAGCTGAACCTACCCTGAGTAAAGAAACTACCCCAGACACTCCATGTATGCCATATATATGCCTACGTTGGGGTGGTTTTGGGGGTTAATGTAGGCATGTCCCATGGAGTGTTCGGGTATAGGATTTAATCTGCAGGTCACCGAGCTTTTGGGCGGGATTGGGGTTTGTCCCACTTTTTTATAACATTTAACAGGTGGACTGTTCGGCTGCTGTTCCACGGAAACAGATGCACTTCCACTGATACGCGCTTTGTGGTGGCTTTATACGTCCATTTGTCGCACTACTATATAGTTTCAACAGAAAGGCAGGGATCCAGTCATAGCTTCTGAGGAGGGGTGTTTGGTCTGAGGAGGTCTGAGGAGGTGCAACGGCAGGAGGTCTGAGGAAGTACAACGACGACGGGACGCCAGTGGCGTGAAACGACGACGGGGCAGGTTTTCAGATCAAAGGAACAGACTGCAAGGGACCGCCCTTTGGTGGTGGTCCAGGTTGACAGACCCACACCCGAGATCAAGCCTGCCAGGGATGAAATGAACCGCCTACCTCTGAGGCGGAAAAGATGGACAGGTGAAGTCCTATCCGCCTGCGTCTGGCAAGCCCCAGGTGAGCGGGGCAGGTGTTCAATTGGGGGTGGAACCGCGCGTGCCAACTCCACTGCGCGCGGACAGCGCGAGGACACTCGCTGATTCGGGGTGCCAACGACATGAAGCATTGGGGTGGAAATGGATGGAAATGGCTTAGCTGCGGAGATTTGCCACCAAATAAGAGGTCAAATTCAGCATTAATCATCACAAGTTCAATCCATTTGATTCTGAGGCTCAAGAAACTATATGTTCCTCAATACACAAGTGACTTACTACCAACTACCAACCCCCTTAAAGGTCATACCTAGACCCTCCCGAGGCAATAATTTTTGCCGTAGGCTGTTGAGGCAATAATTTTTGCCGTAACTCATTTTTTCTGCCGTAGCTCAATCCCTGAAAAGTGAAAACGCCGTCAGAGAAGTGAAAACGCCGTCACACAAGAAGAATCGCCGTTTTGATTGATCTACCAAAGAGGATATTGTTTGGTCCGTCCATACCCTGAAATTGCCTTCTCCTTTTTCACTTGTAAGTAGAGCTCATCGTTTTCAAGCCTCATGGTAGCACTTCTCAAGATGTTGCAGCCCTTGTCTAAGGTCTCGATTGACATCACGGCAGGATTTGTTCACATTTTGATCATGCAATGGCTGAAAGGATCGCTTGTGACATGTTGTGACAAGTCTTGCTGCCACCTCGAGTGACCCTAGACAGGGTAAGGGAACGACGCCGTAAGTAGGGGGAAAACGCCGTAAGTACGGGGAAAAACGCCGTAAGTACGGGGAAAAACGCCGCAAGTACGGGTAAGAACGCCGTAACTTTAAACGCAAAATCTTCTGCAACGCCGCGCAAGAGGTCGAGTTACCCGCAAAAACCGACGAAAACCCAGCATGTGACACTTCCATCAGCTGCCCTTTCCACTTCACATGAGTATGCGAGTTTGCTGATATAATAAGACGCCTTTTACGTTCAGTTGCCTTCCAAGCAAGACCCTACAATGTTTTCATACTCGCCTGCACTAAAACTAAAACGAAATGACTCTTTGAGGCGCATGGATGTGTGGACCAAAATTGCCGTCAACTGACCGAAACTGCCGCAGTTCATCAAGAAACGCCGTCCCCATGAGATCAATATGGAAGAACGCCGCAGAACGGAAAAAGGCGACGTTTCATGAAAACGGCAATTATTATTGCCGTAACGAAGTTCCAGGTATAAACCGTTAGCATCCCTTAGCCGAAGATCGACGGAACATACAACAAACATCGGCCCCCTTTCTGGATCGCCACTAAGATCGACTGCTTCGGAGGGGTGACGGAGGCATTCATTCCAAAGTGAAAGCACACAAACCCTAAGGGTCCAGGACCATCCTGAGGATGTCCTTTGGCCCCGAAGACCATTCTTAGGAAGTACTTTCACCTCCAAGACCATCCTCAGGATGGTCCTGGACCCTTAGGGAAAGACAACGGTCCCAGTGCATCCCAGGCAAACCACGTCTATAAGGAACCAGGGAGTCCTTCGTTCGGTCTATGGTTTGCTCGTCGAATTGGAACCACTGGGACTCCCGGCGACATCGTGGTTTGCCTGTTTTGCCTGGATGCCCTGGGAACAACAACGACGACGGCGACGACGACAACGACGGCGACGGCGACGGCGACGATGACGACCACGACCACGACGACGACAACAACGACGACGACGACAACAACAACACCGATGGGGAGCCTCCTTCGCCCCAAACAGCCGCCCACGTATCACGTCTTCCGCACCGCCCTCTTCCTCCCGCACAACCTTCGCCGTCTTCAACTGCCACCGGACCGGCGGTCCCAGGAGCTGGAGGGCAGCGTTCCCCTGGAGATCGAGGGGCTCAAGGTGCGACGGTCGCGGCGCAGAGCGAGCGGCGCCGAGCTCGCGGGGCGAGGGTCGCGTGGACGCGCGGTGTCGGCGTGGCGCGGTGTCGGCGGTGTTTGGGGAGGTTGAAGGCACGAGGTGTGTGGCCCTGGGGGCTTTCAAAGAAACCTTGCAGGAAAACTCCCCAACTGGAGATATACAGGATGGAGGATTTAGCGTGCCGGCAGGGAGACCACGTTTTGATGGTGTTTCTTTATAGGGTGTGTGTGTGTGTGCATGTCTTTTCCCAGACACTCCATGTATGCCATATATGCCTACATTGGGGTGGTTTGAGGGGTCAATGTAGGCATATATGGCATACATGGAGTGTCTGGGTTTTGTTTGTCTTCGTGTTCATGTGTTTGTGTTTGCGTTCCTGTTACTGTTTCCCCCATGGCATTTGCAGTATGAGAGGTCACACTCTCACAAAGTAGAAGTGCAACGCGCTGGTTCTTCTCATCACTTGGCTTTGCTGACGTTTAATAGTGCCAAGTAACACTTTGGATTTGATCATAGGCAGCTGATACTGCAGCTGATTCGCTGTCAAGTTCCTGAGTTTTCCGGGGACGTATGCTTTCCCTAAGGGTCCAGGACCATCCTGAGGATATCCTTTGGCCCCAAAGACCTCAGGAAGTACTTTCACCTCCAAGACCATCCTCAGGATGGTCCTGGACCCTTAGGGTTTGTCATAAATGAATGTTTGCTGTCATCCATGCCCTGGTGTCAACTGCTCCTCGCATCCAACTTTGTAGACATCGGTCACGAGAGGCAAGTCTTTCAGGAGTCAACTCTGTTTTACTACCTCCAAGTGACCAAGGAGTTAACGGAGATGTGCCAAAATCAACATGTCCTGATTCATCAGGAAACGACTGCACTGGCAGCTGGGCAACAACTCCGGGTCTGTTAGCCGTTAGCCAACAACTCCCGTCCCAGGATTCCACCCCCTCCAACACCTCGTGATGTGCGGTTCCCTTGCTGGGAGGGTACCTATATATACCCACCCCTTCAGGAGTTGACTTGCTTGTAGGTCCTGAATGGATCTGAATGTCTCAGAGGGCCACCGTTTCTGGTCGAAGACTTGCCCGTTTGGGCTCCTGGCCCACGTCCTGAGGTGACCGGTGGGACTGGGGTAGGTGCTAGGGGGGTCTAACCACCGCACCTGAGGAGATGGGGCGTTCGGAGCCCTGGGGTTTTGCAGAGAATTCATTAGAAGGCCATTTGTTCTGGACGAAGATCTTCAGGACTTCCTGGTTCACTCATGGGAAAGACACCCAGACCTGCTATCTTTGGACGAAGATTGGGTGTGACCTGTGGTCCATGCACCGCAGACATTTGGTTCCACATGATGGGTCAGAGAACCCAGAAGACTATAGATTTCCCCCATCAAAGGGCTCGGTTGAAAAAAGGGGCCGTAGGGATGTAGGCAACTATATCAGTCCTACATGGATTGTTGGGATTGCTTACAAAGGTTAAGCACAACATATGACCAATTTCATCCAATTTCTCTTTGTTGCACATTCGCCCAATGTTAGGGGCTAAACATCCGGATGTCTTTTGCGTGACACCGCACCAGTTTTCGCACCGAACACGATCGCCCCCACCTTGCCTTCCGCTACGCTTTGCTACGGACGCCATGCGTCGCCTACTCGCCCGCATCGTCGGCTCGGCGTCAGGAAGCGGTTTGGAGACATTCGCCCTACTCCTGGGGCTCCATCCCGGGCTCCTTCTACAAGGCGGCCTCGATGAAGACCAAGTCCTTGCCGTGCCTTGGGGTTTGAGGTTCGATGAAGGGAGCGCGGAGCGTCTGGAACTGACAGTTTGGAAGAGGTGGCATACCGAGAGAGGTTGAGAGACCAGAACGTTTGGACCCTGGTCTGTGGTACATATGGGATGGGCAATCCACTAAAGGGCCGTGAAAAGCCTCTCTTGGTACCCAGGAAGTTCATGTGTGCAGGTCACCTTTTTGGGAGAGGGGTCTCCCCACTAAACAGGAACAAGTAGAAAGTCAAAATTGTTTAGACCAACGGATGAGCTTGAATCATTTGCCAACATTCTCCTTGAAGGGATAAATCAGAAGCTTTGCACTTGGGCCTTTTGCCCGTCTCTTCTGCGCCTTCATTGTTGGTTGCAGGTCATTGACTGAGTGACCTGCGTGTCCCCGGTCTGACTGCACAACAGGTAGAAAGTTCGGTGAACCTGTATTTGACCGGGACACGGCTCAGGAGTTAGGTGGTGATTTCGAGTATAGCGATTGATGTTCAGATGATTTCTTTGACGCTCCAAGTACCTTCTGAGAAGGTGGGACTGGGGTGGGTGCCAGGAGGGTCCAAATACCTTCTGAGGAGGTACGACTGGAGGTGTGGGGTGATTTCTTTGACGCTCCAAGAGCTGCTTTGTACACAGGCATGTGGCTTTGCAGGCTCTTGGGTTGTCCGACCACGCACACTATATTAGGTCTGACCACGAAGATTGAACATGATTGAACCATGTTGAACCCATATTATACGTTCGTGAGTTAACACTCAAATTAACCTCCCCCACCAGTTCTTGTTCGTTTGGACCTCCCGGTCCAGTATGGTCCAGCAACTTTTTGGTCATTGACCACGTCCAACATGAGGTCATTGACCTTTAAGGATTGAATGTTCCTCACCTTCCATTGAAATGATGGTGGTCCACCTGAGGAGCCCGGTGCATTTCCATTTCCATCGGCCAAGAATCACCACGTCCATATCACTGGAGGTAGGCGGAATCTTCCACTGAATGTTCCTTATCAAGAATGACACATCTCCACTCATCTCCACACCCGGATCAGACCCCTTGCCACGTTACATGGAGGAAGGCTACACTTTCTTGGAATGGTCATGGGTTACATGGAGTTCACCACCTGTTGTTAGAGGAACATGCAAAAATTGGTCATCCAAGCCATTTAGGGGCAATTGTCCAGTTCCGTGAGTAGTATTCCAGAGAGGCTACCTGTAACAAAATGCAACTATTAACTATACCTTCCGGATCCGATGACCACCGATCAACCACTCATGCGCCCTAAGGGGGTACGCGACGGCCTTCTCCAAGCCCTTCATGGCTTTCGTGAAGTGAGGCGCGGCACGGACTGGACGAATTCACGGTTTTTCAGGGTGAGGGTTTCGGATACTGTTGAGTATCTGTAAGGAGGGTCAATAACTTTCGGTGTATTACTGTATCTTAGTATCTGTAAGTTGGGTATCTTATTTGGGATACTTTTCGGTGTATTTTCAACTCTTACTTGGCGATGATTGGACCCTCTGACTCATATTTTTCAAATTGAGTTGAAACCACCACCCCTGAATTCAGGCTGATGCCCCCCTTCCAACGGTCCGACGAGTGGGTTTTTCAGGGTGGAAGACGTTCATCTACCGGAGGGTCGTTCGAGTCAGGTTGCCTGCCTTCCAAGCCGTTTCCAGGAAAAGACAGGTTAAACATCCGTTTGGGCTCCACCTCCTGAGGTGACCGGTGGGCCAGGGGTGGGTGCCAGGGGGGGTCTAGTCCTACCGAACCTGAGGATGATGGTTTGGGATATGTTTATTTTCACTGCCTGGAGCCTTCAAATACTGGGGCAAGGCAATGGCTCCAAGGGCAATGGCCCAGCAATCGATTTCTATGTGACAACCCTTACTTGGGGATGATTGGAGCCCCTGACTATCTGACTCATATTTTTCAATTGAGTTGAAAACACCAACCAGACTAAGATCAGACCAGACTAAGCTGCACGTCTCGCCTTCCTACCAGGACCCCGACTCTACAGGTCTCCTACTGTGATGATGCACCATCAACTGTGCGACCCAGAGACCAGAGACTCCAGGGCCTCCAAAACTCAGTGATCTTTGTTCAGGCCTCAGTGTTGGCGTCAAATGGAACCCGAAAAGGTCACTTGCGGGACTCGATAGAGGGGCAGAAAGGAAGTTGTTTAATGGATTGTTTGATGGACGATGTGTTGCATGTTTTGTGGATGGGTTTGGCGGACGGTTTCGTGCAGAGCAGAGCATTTTCTGTAGACAAACAGCGGACCTTTGGTTGGGTGCTAGCGGCGATGGTCACTAGCTACAAAACATCCTCCTCCTCGTCCTCCTCCTCCTCCTCATCACAGCTGGTTCGCCGGTCATTCCGCACAGCTGGAGGTTGCTGCTGCTTTGAGTGACGTCGAAGGAGTGGCACCGGAGCCATGAGAGCGCAAGCGAAGTATAATGGTATACGACACACATAATGTATATGTATATATATATATATTATAGATTCAACATATACACATATTTTACGTATTTTACCTGTTTCTGTATATGAACCACGTCAGTGGACATCTTATGTTTGCTTCCGGGAGTCCTTATAACATTAAACAACAAATGTACGGATGTTTTTCCAACCCAGTTTGCCATTACTCCCATCTACAGGAAATCATGGTCTTTACCACCAAGACTGGGTTTCCTGTAGATGTTTCCTGTTTACCACCAATTTTGGGGAATTGCGAGTGCAGTTTGACGATGATGCATGATAATTTGTGAGTGGACCGCTCATCACTTGCTCCCCGCTAGTCACTACAGTAAGACTGCAGCAGATAGGACATAAAAAAACAAACAAAATCAAAAAAAAACATAATATATATATATATATATAAAAGGAAAGCAATCCACGAAACCTGCACCACCACACGCACTCCTCAACTCGACCTGGTCGGGTGGTTTGCAACTGTTGCTGGAAGAAGGACTCTGGCACCCACGCTGAGAGAACGAATAAACACTGGATGTACGAGGTTCTCGTGTTTGTTGGGTGCAGCATGTCTTCGAATTGACACAATTTTATCACTTTCAAGCGATGTGTTGGGACTGCAGCTCCTGCAGCTGGTTTGGTCACTCAGCCGTTGACTCTATAGAAGACCAGTTGACCAGTTCTCGCTCCGCATGCTCCGCACTCCGCGAAACGGCAGGTGCCCAAGGCATTTGTCACTTTTTTCTCTCCATATATATAGTATAGCCTGAGCAAAGCCAAGTGCCTGAGCGGCGGAAGTAGTTGATCGAAGGATTGTGGTCCCAAGGCAATCTCAGACACTCCATGTATGCCATATAGATATATATGCCTACATTGACCCCCAAAATCACCCCAACTGATCGGCATATATGGCAGTCCCATAAGATGTTTGGGAATGTTTTCAAGAGCGATTGGGGCACTAAGGAACATTTGTCAGATGAGTCCAAAGACTATTTCGACTGCCATACTGTTTATACTGTTTGGCAGGAAGAGGAATCATAGACATGTGCTGAGGCACTGCCAGAAGAATAGCACTGAGAGCTGTTTTGTGCGTATGGATCCACATACCTTAGAAGGTACTTGGACCCTCCTTCTCAGAAGGTATTCCACGTAGTTTCAGTGTCTTATCCAGCCTAAAGCAGTAGGCTTTCTCGATTAAGGACAGCTTCCGAAGGTAGACCTTCCATCATTGGAGCCTGTTTGGGTTCCTTCTTTTTGGACTCACCCCAATACCCCCCCATCCCAACAGGTTGAGAACCGACAATTGAGTCGTGTTTTGAAGTATTTATGACATATAAACAACTGTTAACATGTTAAACAACGGCAGCGGTTGATTTGCCTTCAGAGATTCAGATTCCATATGTTACAAGAACTTTAAGTGTGACATCGTATGACCACATCCGGTAAAACTCATAAACTGAGGTTTGTTGATGACCTGACCATCTAATTGATAGGAGCCTTGGGTTTTCCTGGGCCCCACGTGAGCGGGAGGGGAGATTTTCTGAGCTCCATTCATGTTCGCCACCCAAAAGGAGCTTGGCTACGGGGTCTTTGTTGGTCACAGGCAGTCCCAGAGCGCCTCACCACTTTGAGATTGGATGGGTTGAATATGGATGGATATGATCGGATAGGAGCACACCAAGCACAAAGCCAGTTGGGATGATTGATGTGGAGTCCATTCATAGAAGGTCAGGTGCTCCAGGAGGTTGATTGGATGACATCTTCAAGTGACTAGGTGACTAGGTGACTTGGGAGTCAGTCTCCTAGCGCAGTTGGCCGGGCGTTTTCACATCCTGGCTGGAAGCTTTGCCCAGGCTCCGAACAGCCTGTTTTGGACCTGAACGTGGGGGGGTTGGCAACTTGTTTGGGTAAGCAGGAACTGTCCTCTAGGATTCCTGACCCACCATTGATGTAAGGGTGCCCACCCAAAAAAGCAAATTGTTCTACTCAAGGGTGCTAGCCTGGTGAGAACTAGTCGAACCGAAGGTCTATAGCATACCCTAAGGGTCCAGGACCATCCTGAGGATGGTCTTGGAAGTGAAAGTACTTCCTGAGAGTGGTCTTTGGGGCCAAAGGACGTCCTCAGGACGGTCCTGGACTCCTGGACCCTTAGGGATACTATAGCACCAAGCAAGGTCGATACACCAAGCATGCATGTCGATATGGCACCTTCTTTCAACACCCCAAGAAAGCTGGCAGTCAGGTGGGACGCCTGTCCTGTTTGGGGTGCCAAACGGTCAGTGCCCACAGTTCCCCCAAAAAAATATCTGACCTGTTTGGGACTGGGATCTGATGGGGTCAATGTAGGTCGGTGCCAGTCAACCAATGCTTGGGATAGGATCGCGGGGAGTTTCATCGATGGACCCTGGAGGGTTTGATATCAAGCAGTAAACTTTCAATCACGTTACCCGTTTGGGCTCCGAACGGCCCACCTCCGTTTCGAAGATGGGCCAGGGGTGGATACCAGGGGGTCGGGCACCACCGGTCACCTGAGGAGATGGGCCAGAAGCCCTAGGGTTAGTTGTGATGGAACAGCATGGGTTTGATGGAACGCTGGATGCGTGGCTTATGTGTTTCATGTTACTTTTTGGGCTGCAAGTTGTGCAAGAGTCTGCAAGAGCATTTCATCAACAAGCACAGACCAAGATGCGGCTTCTCAAAGCCGCCTACTGTATTTTGGAGCGCGAGGGTATTCATATGGGTTTGTTCGTCCAGTGGTGCAGGATTTGTCCATCAATATATCCGTCCTATGGAGTGCTTTCCAGTGACCCAAACGCAACCCGGATGGGACTGCCATGTCGGACTGCCTGGCAGTCCCATGGAGTGTATGGGTATAATGGTATATAGCCAGATCTGTAGGTTTTTCTTACCGACCTCGGACCTGGATCCATGACAAGTTGGTGCTTGTAGCTTCTAGGACGATTCCATGCAGCGACACGCTGTGTTGGGGGACGGCGCACACGATGACGCGGTAGTTCTGATTCTTTCACGTAGTGAGCCGTACTGTGTTTGTGGATTGACTTAGGTTGTATCTCAGCAAGCCAGTAACAGTCCGTAGAAGATCATCACAATTTTTGGGCAAGGCCTTTACTGACTATCATAACCCATTGGTGCTGGTAATGGGATTTTGTTGTGGTTCACGAATTCACCCATGTTACTTGAGGCGCAATGAGCTGGGGTCTCCATTTTATCCCTTTCACTTTACCAACCACTTGCTCTAGGCATATACTGGCACATACTGACACTAAACATGAAACTATCCACGCTCTATTCAATCTGTCTAGTCAGAAAAAGAATTGAACAAGTGCAGTTATTAGTATTAGGCAGCGGCAGAAACATGAGAATTTCTGTTTGGGAGTATTGAACCCTTTGGCTCATGGATCTCAAGCCTACAGGTGGCAATTGCTTCGCTCGATTTTTCATCAAGCGTCATTGTTGCGCGCCCCCGTTGCCCACAGCAGCCGCCAACGAAAGTAACCAAAAGAACTGCCTTTGGTCCACCGCCAGGGGGAGTGATATGCCACAAACTAGACTGATTGGTGATTTCATTGATTTCACAAGCAGAGTAAAGCCGAACTCATCTAGGCACATGTTGCAGTAGAATCACCCAGCACATTCTTCGTTGGCATGCGGCCCGCCTATTCCAACCTTGGTGGATGGTTTGATGGACTTCTTGACCTTTGTGGGGATTGGTTTCCCCACAAAAAAATCCAACAGATGGGAATAGAGAGAGGTTAACCCTTGGTTTTCGATTTCGGGCATCGGGAGTCGGGTGCATCTGACTGGCAAGACTGGGAGAAGACCTGCGCTAACAAGCTTGCGGTGGGTTCATGCTATCTCTAAACCTGATGGATCAGTTTCTTTGTCCGTTTTCATGGCCATTTTCATCAACGACTGCCGTTTTCAAAAGAAAGTGTTTGTTCAGCAATCTTTGAAAGATACACCAGCATCAGTGGCTGGCACCAACACAATGACACACAACACAGTCGTTCTGAGTTCTGGTATAGAACAGTGAGAAGCGGCACGCACAAACCCTGGTTCTACAGCACTGGTTTATCCAGCGCTTAGCACCATGGCACCAGTACGCTTGGTGCTCAGTCAGATGCCGGGACGCCTCGCCTTGCATGCTGTGGTCCCCAAATATTTGACCAGGGGCACGGTGTCCAATACAGTTTAAGTGAGGCTACGTCTTCAGTTTAAATAGCACGGTGTCCAAATCTATATACATACGGTGTCGTGGGATCTACTGTTCTATTTGTTTGGGGTTCTACATGTGCGCTTTGCGTTGCAAGAGATGTCACTTCACCAAGAAGAAGCACAAGACACTGACACTGGCTTCCATGACCCCGCAGTCGGTTCTCCCACTTGGTCTTGACATCCGACCAACCACATCCTCGTCGATTTCACAGCTGTGGACAGCAGGATTGAAAAGTCTTGCCGCAAAATCAATACCGCTGGGATACTTTTGGTGGAATTGTGATACAAATCGATTTTCCATTAAATTTACGTTAAATGGATCCCTTCCTATATATAGCCGTTCAGGAGAAGAACGCGGTCCACGGGATTTGGTGACAGCAGTTGACCTCCCTCCCACCACCCCACCCGAGGTCGACGGTCTTTTTCAGCCACATCTTCGCCTGGAAGGCCAGGGCCTCCACTGAGACACTCGCGATTCTACTCTCCGGTGGATTGTGTTGAAGATCCTGGAGAGCCGGTCTTCCAACCCAAAACAGTTTGATCGCCCGAGCCGTTCCTCTTGAACAATAGATTAAGCATGATTAAGCTATATTAAGCTTACTGTCCCTGGAACTCACATGGAAGTGGAGTGAAAATCCTCTGTTTCTCAAGGAAAAGGATCTTCCAGTACTTCCATGTTAGTTCCAGGGTGTAAATGAGCCCCTTGATATTAAATTAATAATTGGACAAAAGGACAAACCCCACCGGCTGGATCATTGCCCGGGCCTCCACTGAGACACTCGCAATTCTGAATGTCCTCCCCAATGTTTTCGGAATATCGAGTGAACGCACCAATGGCAGCATGTCACTCTACGTTCCCCTTGCATCCAAGACAAATGATGTTACGAATCGGCATGATGTCAATGTCCTTTGGCTTATGCTGGCGCCACGAGGGCATAAGGAGATAGGAGTGAAACCTTCCAACAAAGATCCTTAATGCTCCAAGTGCAGCATGGTCCTCCCATACTATGGTCCCATACTTTATGACCCACTTGCACTGGCCAAGGGATTTTGGTAGGGACCAACATGCATCTTGGAAATGCCCAGGAGAGGTCCAGCTATTTTGGTTTAGTATGGACCTGCTGATGCAGAAGGCGCCAAGGGATGCCAAGGGCATTTTTGTGATTCACTTTGCCCATGAAGGATTTCATGTCCAAGGTCATTTCCTCAGTTAGTGACCATGTTGGTTTGTAGAAAGCAGACTGGTTCCTGTTTGTGAGTACTTGGCCCAAGCAGTTGAGAGTCTTCGGCCGACAAGTGGAATTCTGTTTCATCCCGCCAGCGGGTGAAGCAATCCAGCCAGATCAGGTACCCACGACATGATGGGTGCGGATGGCGATCAGAATCATGGCAACCGTGAGAATTCGTGGCTGCACATCAAGGAGGAGATCAAGGAGGAAATACAGCAGGACCAGATCGGTCCCTTGAGTGTTGCGACTACCACTGCTGAGGACGAGATCAAGCAGCAGGTCAAAGAGGAGGTGGAAGAGAAGGTGGAGTTGGGCCAAGATTCAGTCGAGCCCGCCACCACTCCTACAACCAAGCGCCGCCGCCTGACTCGAAGGAACATGCAGGGGAAAAGAGCAGCCACAATTGCCACAGAGACTCTCGCTCGGGCTTCTATCAAGAAGGAAAAACCTGATGATGATGATGTTCTAGTCAAGCAAGAGGAGAGTGATGACCAAGACGCCCATGCCCTGTGGCTTCAAGTGAAGAAGGAGATTAAGGAGGAGATGCATCAGGAGCAGATTGGTTGCTTGGGTGTTGGCACCACCATCGCTGGACATGAGGTCAAGCAGGAAGTTAAAGATGAGGTTGAAGATAAAGTCGACGCAGCCAGTCATCCAGTGGGTCTAGCCATCACTCCCAGAGCCAAACGTCGCCGCCTGACTCGATGGAACATGCAAGAGAAGCCAGCCGACACACGTACAGTGACTCAGGTTTGCATCAAGAAGGAGAAACCTGATGATGCTCAAGTCAAGCAAGAGGAAAGTGATGGCCAAGACACCCATGCCTTGTGGCTGCAAGTGAAGCAGGCGGTCAAAGAGGAGATGCAGCAGGACCAGATTGGTTGCTTGGGTGTTGGCACTGAGGTGAAAGAGGAGGTTGAAGAGAAAGTTGACACACGCAGTGATCCAGTGGGGCCAGCAATCACTTCAACTCCACCAAGCAAGAAGCGCCACTTAGCACGCAAGGAGACGAAGATCAAGAAGGAGAAAGGTGATGACCGAGAAGCTCCTCAGGACCAGCCTGATGAAAGCGAGATTAAAGAGGAGTTGGGCAAGAAGGATTCAACGGCTGACAGCATAAAGATCAAGGAGGAGCATATAGTGGATGCAAGTTCCATCCTTCCTCCATCGAAGGAGGCGGGATGTCAAACGATGGAAGAGGGGGCAACCCAAATCCAGGTTGTGCTTTGGGGTCCCTTCTATGCATAACAAAAAAGAAATACCTATAGATGGGCAAAGATGGAAGAGGGAGCAACACTTGGGGCACCCCTTCTTAGAGACTATTATGGTATAGCATAGCATTGACTAATGTTGACCAGTTGTTTATTTTTTGTCCTTTCCATCGAATCTATATAATAGTTCATCCAGGGTCCCTGAGCAAGAACCAAGAAATGCATAACAAAAAAGAAATACCTATAGGTCAGCAGAATTTCCAAGACCCACAGAACCGACAAGAAGTAGTGTGGCAAAAAAACCTGTTCAAGTACTATAGATGCCAACCCGCATACTGAGCGTGCAGGAGGGAGCGAGTGCTGATGATGCCTCCTTGGATACTTTTGCCGCAGCAGCAGCTACTTGGGCACAGCAGTGCCTCGCATTCCGAAAGACCAAGACGTGGACGCCGACCAGGCGCCGTCACTGACGCGTGTGACGCCGCGTTTGACGCACGACCATGGAAGAGGTACACTCCGTCCAACTAATCAGATGAAAAGGGCAAAACTACCATGTTCTACTTCCATGTGAATCATCCATATCCGTCGGGGAGTGTCAAATAGTTTGTTTGGGAGAGAGAAAAGCGGTTGACAAGAGAGCATCATTTGCCCCTGAGAGGTGACCAGTGCGTTGACGCACCGCAGGAAATCTGTTTTTAGTCCTTTTGTCGTGTGCATGATTGTCGTGGCTTCCTTGGCGATGCATGAATGGGACTGTTTGGGAGACTGAAGGTTCCCGAAGTGTTGGGGATTGAAATCAAGACCAAGGAATAGCAGTGGCCTGTAAACATACTAAATACCCTACAGGCCAAAGACCTCATTTACTGGGGTTGATCATGCACAAACACTATTCGGTTAGGTTTTCAGGACCAGGTTTTGATGGGTCAGACTGGTCATGCGTGCAGCCTTCAAGGCACTGGTGCATTGCCTAGACCCTCCGTGAAAACAGCCCTTTCCCGTCCCTCAAAACTGACCAGGATTGGCGAGAAACCCCAGACCTCCCCATACCGTATGAGTTTCCAAGAGCGTTTGGGTGGCGGGTGTTTTGTGCTTTTGTAGTTCAATCAGTCACAGGCCATGTTGTCCTGCCAACTTCTTCGTCGGCCCGGTGGATGGCATGCCAACAGCTCCCCCAGAAGATGCTCCAGCATGCGTGCAGCGGTTGTCTGCCTACCGTTTGCGGTGCCTTCGGCGATTCCACCTCAAGCATGATCCCCAAACGCTGCTCGCGGAGGAGGCACAAGGGCAGGGCTGTTGCATGTTCTTGAACACTGGCAGATCTGACAGGGACCAAGGCATACAGCGAAATACATTGAATACATGTTAATTCACATGGATTAACAATGATTAGCATGTAATTTACCCACAATTACTATCGACTATTTGACTACTATGTGGCCAAACCGTATGAGCTCGAGGAGTGCCACCTATAGTTTTTACTTCCGAATGACAAACGAGGACCAAGTGCCCTGACAGTGCAATTTGACTGAAATCTTTGGCTCCAAAGCCAGCTATCCATGACATGGATCATCGATCTTGCTCAAAATAGCCTGCGTGACATCGATCATCGTGTGTCCTTCCTTTTATAGTGAGAAGACCTTGTTTTGGTTTAAGCTCCAGATGGTGTTTTGGTGCAAAGCGTACTTTGTGAAGCTAGTTCCGAAGTGGGTTCCTTTCAACCTGTGCATCACATTGCTCGCTCTCAGAATAGCCCCCGCGTGTTTGCTTTTTATCCTGAGACTGGCTTGGTTTGGTTTGGACCTCCAGTTGTTGTTTTAATGAGCTTTGGAACTTCCTGTCAACTTTTCGACCGGCAGGTGCAGGTAGAGTCCCCGATGCGGCTTGCTTCACCCAAAAAAGACCGGGCACTATCACCTGAAGAGCTGCTACTGGCAGAAAAGGACTGGCGGATTGAAGGGTGCAGTTGCATTCCTAGAAATGTTTAGTTGGATTTAGTGGCCCACCATTGATTTAATGGGATGAATCCTCAACAACCACTAGTGTTGTGTTACTAAGCATGTTTTTGACTGCAAACCTTTGCTTGGCGAAAGTATTGAAGTTCGAAATGGGAATGCTGCCTTGTCACTTCAAAGCCAGGACATAAAGGTCCGTGGTTTGGACCTTATGAAGATGTGGCCGTGGATGAGGGACCTCCCAACTTGTTTGTGGGCTGGTCGTGGCTGGGCCTTCGATGAGAATGGTCTACGGCGCTTGTCCACAAGCGGCGGCAGCGGTGCCATGGAAGGTGTCGAAGTTTGGGACTCAGTTGGCCAAGCACCCGAAGAGGTGAAGCCAATGGAAGAGATCGTCAAAGAAGCCACGGCTGCAGCCACGGCAGGTAGCTCTTCAGAAGTCCCTGCGACATCAGAGAAACCAACTCGCTTCCAGAGGCACAACTCGGGGAAGCAGAGTGGGGTTCCAAATCTGAAGTGGAGCAAGAGTTGCTGGGCCTGGCAGGTCAGCTTCCCAACCTTTGACGAGAAGGGTAAGAGAACTGGCCACACAGGTCGGATGTTCTCCCTCAGCAAGTTCATGAAGGAGGGCCTCACCGAGGACGAAGCCGATGCCGCCGCGCTGGAGGCGGCCAAGGCCTTCCGGGCCGAGCTGGTGAAGCAGGGCGTTCTCAAGGAGCCGAAGCCCGTGGATCCCAACTTCACCAGCGAGGTGCCGGGGGTGAACTGGAACAAGAGGGACAAAAAGTGGCAAGTGCAGCTCGGAGCAAAAGCGAAGAAGAGGATTGGAGGCGGCTGCTTCACCGACAAGGCCGCCGCCGAGTCCAAGGCCTTGGAGCTCGCGAAGCTGCACGGCTTGGACCGCAAGGTGACGGCTGTGGGGAGCATCGCAGACAGACTGGCAGGGCTGCCGGTCTTCGAGGCGAAGGTGCCCTACCCCGGGGTGACCTGGGACCAAGGCGAGCAGCAGTGGCATGCCCAGTGCCAAATCAACGGCAAAACGCGGCATTTTCGTGTGAAGCCAAAGGACCACAGCGAGGCCGAGCTCGAGGCGTCCCACAAGAAGGCCGTGGCCTGGAAGAAGAAGAAGGAGAAGGAGAAAGCCGCCAAATAGTGATCTACTATGATTTACCGATTTCCCTTTCACCTATGCCAGCCAACTTTTAAGAACCTGAAAGTCTTTTTCAGACAGATCAGGCACGAGACAAAGACCAAAGTGATGCAAGAAGTGCGAAACAAGCTGACGGGTGGTGAAGAGGGAAACTGGTGAGGACGTCCTGCGAAATGAGATTGCTTAACTTGGCATGTTTACATTTATGATGTTTGGGGATGTTTTCCTATGTATGTTTTATACGTTGGTGAATTTGTTTGCATGTGTGCAGAGTGTTTGTCTTATTCTTGATTTGCTGGTGCTGATGCAACAGGATGTGGTTGGAACCAATCTTGTTGGAGGGCTCTGCATATACTGAACGTGCTTGTAAAGAATGACACACAGATGGCTTTGAGTGTTTGCCATTGATTTTTTGTGTTACACACGCTAGGGCAGCGGACCCCTACAACACCATGCGGATCCTGGCAGTGTCTTGGCTTGACGCCATGGTTCCTGGGGATTCACATCATTTATTCTAAATCATGGTCGGTGGTTTTGTTTCGTTTCAGAGAGAGATCAATAATATAGTTGGGTGAACCCCTCTAATTTGACAAAAGGATAAAGGATGAATCAGCTGGTGCGACCAGCTGGACCATCTAGTGAGACCAGCTGGATCATGCAGTAGCGTGAAAAAACTTGCGTATGGGCTGGTGCCATAGATGGAACTTTGCCGGCGATTGGCTTGTTTATAGAGGGGATGCCTTAAGTTAATAACCTATGATTGACGGAAAGACTAAAGGTGAAGCAGCTGGTGCAACCAGCTGGATCAGCTAGTGGGAGACCAGCAAGCCTCCGATCACATGTCCTGTCCAGTTGTTCTTTCTTCGACCAACCTGACCAACCTTCGCAGTGCTTGGTTGGCGCGTTCGTGAGAAGTCAGTATGGCGAACAAGTTGTTCATTATCTAGCTCAACCTCCATCACAAGGTCAAACCTACAAATTGCCAAATACAACGTGGCGTTGTTTGTTCTGAATCAGGTTCTTCAAGCCCACACCAAGCAAACAGTGTCTTTCAGTGGTATTTCTCTCCATCCCCTTGGCAACGACAGAAACCTCCAAAACCTCCACTGCCCCGCATCCCCTAACCACACGAGCGGCTGAACCGGCCGACCGAGGAGATGTACCGGCACGGCTGACCGGCCTCCGCCAGGGCCACCGGGGCCGCTGAGCCCGCGGCCGGGCGCCTTGGAGCGGTGGAGGGCTTGAGGCCAAAATCAGTCGTCAACACAGAGTTCCTGCAGATGATGTAGACTGCTGATTTTAACCACAGTTCAATGTTAGCTACAGTTCAATCAGAGTTAAAACCTGTTCCTGAATCGGTAGGCTGGTTTTCCAAAGACTCTTGATTATGTTGCACCCCCCAGCCTCCCACGGGTCCTGAAGAGCATTGTTCAATCCATGTCTCCCGGGGGGTTCAAAAGTCTACATGACACGACCTGTCTGGGACTGGCATATATACCGATCAGGCCAGGGGTGGTGCCAGGGGGGTCAACGGGGCGGCATACATGGCAGTCCCATGGAGTGTTTGGGTGATATTGTGGAGTCTGAATGTATAAATGAACACATCTGCCCCTCTCCCCCCTTCATAGCAAACCATTGAAGGAGTTCATAGAAGGATTGCCCCAGAATTCACCTGCAGGTCACCTTTTTGAAGGGTTGAGAAAACCATTCCACTGTCCACTTCCAGTTACGTGCATTGCCTCATAGTAGCCAGGCTGCGGGAATCCCACTGAAACAATGGTGGAATAAGGTGAAACCCTGCGAAACGGACCTGGAGTCCAACTATTTACCGTACCCAAACAGTCTATGGGAGTGGCATATATCCATGGACCAGGCTGCTGGAACAAGGGGTATAGACGGGGCCTGCTAGAAGCTGATGACTGATGACCAACATCGAAGGAATCGAGGAAGTTGCACTGAATCGACAGCAGGTTCTTGTGCTACCGTACTTTGAGGCTTTTGAGGCCCTGACAATTGAAGGACTGAACGCACCACCTGGGGTGCCCACACAAGGGCACACAACAAGAGCGCCATGTTGTTTTGCAGTGATTGATTGTTTTGTATGTTGACACTGCGCAGAGCTTTCTAAAGCAAGCAACACAGTTTTTTCCTATTTTTTCCTTGGCGCTGCTGACCATGACAGTGTTTCTTCATTCTAGACTTTCAATTGATCTAATAATCACATACGTTTGCGGGAGCTTCTTCGGTTTACCTCAGCCTCTCCAAGATGTGAGCGCGGACTTTTGTTGCGTTTCCTTTAGCCCAAAAATAATCACCGGTCTAGTGGGATTATCCCATATAATTTTAGATTGGAGGAGGCCCGGAGGAGGTGTCTTTGTTGCCTCCAAGTGACGTGTGAGGGAGCCACACAGCAAGCCTTTAGAAACCGTCATTGCAGGAGAAAATGCCCGTGGGTCTTTCCACCGGAGAACCTTGGTTGACCAACCAATTGTGGTAGACCCAGGTTGACAGACCCACACCCCAAATCAAGTTTGCGGGCGATGAACGGAACCATCTCCCTCTGAGGTGGAAAAGACGGACAGGTAAAGTCCTATCCGCCTGCCTCTGGCAAGCCCCAGGCGAGCGGGGAAGTGGTTGCTTTTTCCACGTGCCCACTCCTGTGAAACAGCACGACTAGACGCGAGACACCCGCTGATGCAGGGTGCCAACAATATGAAGAGCTGGGGTGGAACATGAGATCTTCGAAGATCTTCAGCATCTTGAGCATTTCTGGGCCAAAACTTGTGTCACCCATGCCTCGCACACCGTGGACCTCCGGTTCCACACTGCGATGAGACCCAGGAGGGCTCCAGGGGCCCAGGGGACTATAAAAGGCTTGGTTGGAACTAAGTCGTAGGGATGTCGTAGGCAGTTTGTCGGGATTATCACTTCAAACTTGTTATGTTAAATGTCTCACATTCGCCAATGTTAGGGGCTACAATCCCGACTTTTTTACCGTGACAGCGATGTTTTAGCAGACTTAAACCATCTTAAACCTATCACCTTTGAATGCATCGTTTGCCGTTTGATGGATGTTTTTGCCTACTCCTGGCGCTCCACACCGGGATCCTTCTACAAGGCGGTCTCGATACCACGCCTTGGGTTCGTGAGTTGGGGGAGCCTCAGGGTTCCACGGTCTCAAATATGTTCACCCAAAAGAACGAAACAATTGTTTTTTCCCAGACACTCCATGTATGCCATATATGCCTACATTGACCCTCAAACCACCCCAATGTAGGCATATGGCAGTCCCATGGAGTGTTTGGGTTTGTATGGCGGTTTCAGAGGTTGCTCCTTTGCCCCCCCACCTTTGGTGTCACGGCAGTGTGCCAAGAACGCATTCTCGCTGCATCCGCAGACGCCGATGCTTGGAATCGGACAGTGTTGGGTGGTTGAAGGTGCCCCAACCATGGCTGGATCATCCATATTGCCTGTTGCTTTCTTCCCCCGTCCAGGCGGAAAGCAGAGATTTCCAGATGAGAAGAAGGAGAAACTCTGAAATTTGCAGGTGATTCAGATGCAAAGCTACCGGTCTTTGAGTTTTGGAATCGTGTTGTGTTTTGGACATGGGGTGGATGTTGGCGATGTTGGCCAGTGCTGCCGGTGGGGTTTGGATTATATATCTGAGCGGTGGTTGTGGTGCCGGCGGTTTTGGCCAACGGGAAGGTTGCCTGTTCAAGGAGCACCTTAGAAGCACCACCCAAATATGTAGATATTGGCATGACATATGATAGAAGTGAAGAGTAGAAGAAGGTCGAAGTCGACAGGAGCACTCTTCGGTCATAAGCAGGAACGCTCACTTACTGCACATCATCGGCATTACTGTGGTGTGACGTTTAAGGATTTGACCAGGTAGATGGAACATGGTGGAATAGTAGTAACATATATTGTCTATAGTTGGAAATATTCGGCAATGTTTTTTTGGAAGTCCGCGATGGATTTTGGTCGCGACTCCCATGCATCTCGGAAGCGCCCAGGAAAGGTCCAGCTATTTCGGTCTACTATGGACCTGCGCTGATGTAGAAGGCGCAATGTGTGAATCTGTGGCAGATTTATTCACTTTGCCCATGCAGGAGTTCATGTCCATGGCCAGTTCCACGATATTTTTTACCTCACCCACATAGGGACCGCTTTGTTTCTGGAAGTC